ATGCATCAATCTTGCATCTTTAAATGAAATAATTTTAAAAATTATTAAAAATGATTAATTTAAAAAAAACCAGCCACAAAATATATAAAAAATCCTACTAAGTATGTATGATGCACTAATTTTTTTCACATGGAATATATATATATATATTTTTGCTTTCAAGCATGTCAATTTCTTGATAAGCTATTAAAAAAGTGGAAATGTAATTATCACGGATTTGTCATGCCATGTGACAACATGAGAAAACTGAAAGAATTTGTTTTTATTTTTATCTTATCTTGTTGATTTTATAGATAATAGATAACAATATCAAGAAGAAAAACAATAACACAGTAATTTTTTTTTAAAAAAATTAGCAATAGGTGAGAAAAATGAAGGAGAAAAACAAAGTGAATAATGATCTAGTAGATTCTATATCCTTGATACTATTGTCTCACATGCAACATTGGCTAGTGAACGACCACCCAAAAAGCTCAACTCTACAAATACAAAAACAACACAACAACCATCTTTCAAGGCAAGGATTTCACAGCAAGTTATTTTTATATGGTTCCACACTCTCTCCATCAAACGGTCTCTAATTTCTCCAATCTATGAATCACTTTCTCTCAATTGTTTTGCACTCGTTCATTTGGCTAGTCAGTTTTTCTCTCCAAATCCCTCCTCCTTTTCCTTACCAAAACCCTCTTACAAAAGGAATTACAGGTGATCCCTCAGAATCTTCTATCAACAAATTGGAAGCATATATTAACATAATGAAGCCATTCAGACAAAGCATGTGGTTTAACTTATTGTATAATATAAGCATAAATGTTCACTTAATCAAAAGCTCTTAAATTAAGAAAATTTTAGAAAATCACCTCCATTTTTGTTATAATGTTTATTTTTGTGGTGCAATTTGTTATAATGTTTAGGCAATGTGTAAGTATTTCATTAGGGAAAATGCAGCATGTATTGCCTTTGTTGCTAATTGCTCCAAAATTATTTTGGTGGTTCACATTCTTTTAAACCTCCATGTCCTAGAGGGGAGGGAGTCTCTCCATTTTTCCCCTCCATTTCTCTTCATTTGTTCAATCCCCACCGTTCAATTAATAAAATAATTTGAATGGAAGGGATTGTAGAAATGGAGGAAGAAAAAAAAGGAGAAATCCATTTCTCAATCATGGAGGCCATCCTCATTTCTAATGAGCTTTTTTCAAGAGATTAAATTACTTTTTAAGTTGCGTACCCATAACATTCATAATCCCGCCCTCTCCTACACAGTTATATTCTTGCATCTTGGTGGTTAAAATGGAAGATACCCTTTCTAACCTATGTCATTTGACATTATTATGAGTCATTTGATTTTGTTACAATCGTGAGCACATTTCGCTTTAAACACGTTATTTGATTGTTGCCTTGTACTGTCCCGTATTTTGTTGCGGATATGTTGGATTATTTTTAGTCAATATTGTGAAATTAATTGCCTTATGTTGTATTTCATAATATGGAAGAGTAATGGCTAAATATGCCCGCAAAAAATTAGGGGCAGTGGGTCATTATATATAGTATTTTTTTTTATCAGAAAATATGGTACTCTATTTGTTAGAATTACAAGCGCTATTTATTTAAGATTTCATACCAAATGGGTGCATACCAATTTTTTCCGAAAATAAATGGGTTTTGAAAATTTAGAAAATTCAATTGGGAAATAAATTTTTATTTGGAAAAAAATATAAATTAGAAGACACAAAGATATTACATTCATTCATTGATTGAATCATTGTGAAAGGAGCTACGAAATGTGAAAATATAAGAAGCATGAGAACCAATTTCAATACTCATTATACATATGAGTACTGAGAGCCCATCACATTTAAATTACTTTTATCTAATTTTGATGGTCCAAATTTATAATTTTTTACATTTATTTTTTTAAAAATTATTTTAATGAATTCATAATTTAAAATAAAGACAATATCTTAATTGTTAGTTTTTTAAAAAACTAATTTTCATTTTAGAAAACAGCAGTTGAAAAATTATAGACAATAAAAGTTATATTTGAATAGTTTAGAGATAATAAACTCTCAACACTTATATATATGATAAGTATTGCAACTGGTTCTGGAAGCATGTCATTTTTTTTTTTGCCAAAGAAATATGTCAAATCCAAGCTTTTCTGGAAAGGTTGTCCGTGGTGAAAATTTAAATATGTGAATTAAAACTATTGGTCAATTTTAATATTGTCGTGATAAAATTAGCTTCCGATGAGGTTGCCAAAGAAAATTGTTATACTTATACCTGCATTGACAATAAGATGAAGAATATGAAAATTGCTTTTGAATTGAACTCCGACTCTCTGAATTACTCGCTCGTATTCTCGATTATGAATAGTTAATAAAACAATCAATGAGCTTTGCCATGGTGCGCGCATTGTGCCAAATATGATTATTGCATAAGTTCATATTTTATAGATATGTTATTGGGAGAATTTTATTAAAGTTCTTTGGATGTGACATAATTTCAATCTGATTTTAAATTTTTTTAAAATTTTACTATAGGCCTGGAGTGTTGGAATGAAATAAATTCTCTTCTTACTTAAATGACCAAAATATCTCTCAATTATAATTAGCATTATTGATATAATAAGGCAAATTATGATTTTTAAATAATATTAATAGAATAATAAGTCAAGTTATGCGCTTTTCAAGCAACAGTAATAGAATAAACATAATTTCTTGTTACTATCATAATATTACTTATAAAAATCATAATTTAACATATTATTCTAATGATATGACTTGTAAAAACCATCATAATTGACTTGTTATTTTAGAAATATCACTTATAAAAATTATAACTTATATTATTATTTTATTAATATTTTAATATTACTTGTAAAAATCATAACTCATTTATTATTTTAGTTATATTACTTGTAAAGACTATAACTTGATTTGTTATTATAGCAATGATACTTGTAAAAATCATAGTTTGATTTATTATTCTAGTAATGTTACTTATAAAAATCATAACTTAATTTATCATTTTAATAATATTAATTATAATTGAAGTAATTGTATTCATTCAAGCAATGTGATTTATTTCATTTCAATGCTTCGGACCTACCATGAAATTTTTGAATTTTTTGAGATCCAATTGAAATTTTGTCATATCCAAGGCATTTTAGTGAAATTCTCCCCCTGTTTTTCATTTAATATAGGGAAAATTGTTGCTAAGGACGTGCAAAATAATATTTATTAGAAAGTATCTTAAAAGTAATAATTATCCAGAAGGACCAAATGCCGAAATATAAATTTTAAAATGCAAAACTACCCTTAATCAAATCTCCTATATTTTCTCAAACCACGAAATTGAATTTGACAGTTATATTGCAATGGTAAATAAACAAATAATACTTGACATCAAAGAAAATGAAAATTTTCTTGTACCTTGAAGGTTTGCAAATTTGAATACAAGAGAAGTTAAATATATTTTTGCAAATTTGAATACAAGAGAAGTTAAATATATTTGCTTAAAAAAAAAAGAAGTTAAATATTATCATTACTTAAAAGTTCTACAAGCTTCGACGCATCATCTCCAATTTGCGGGTTGGTTTATTATATATATGATTAATAATGAATTTGATAATGATTGTAATACTTTTTTTAAATAAATATTTTTTAAATTATATTGATTTAATTTTTAAAAAGTAATGATTTAAAATTATATTGAATTAATTATTTTCTAAAATATGTCGGTCTAATGAATTTAATATTATATTATTGTTTTTCTTTGTTGTGAATTAAAATCTGCACAACTTTTTATTTTTTTAAAAAAATTGTAACTTATGTAATACCGATCAAATATAATTTAAAAAATATTTGACTAATAAACTATTCAGGCAGGTTGATTAGTTTAGCTTGTTCTCACTCAATTCAATCATATCTTAAGAAGTTTATGGACGTTTTACATATTTAAAACAAGTTATTATTTACTATGAAAAAACTTGTATTTCTTCCTTGAATTACTTTTTTCAATCTTAAATAAGGATTTATTTCTCTCTATTATATTTTATCTCCATCAAATCTCCAGTATAAATCTGAACTGTTTATATCAAATTTTAATGATATAAATTTACTTTTAAAAACTATAAAGTCTAAGCAATTGATGTCAAGAAATCTTATTAATAACTGCAAAAAAATTTGAAGTTATAATTTTAATAGATTTAAATTAATTAAAATCAAATCAAATTGATTTAATCTTAATTAAATTGAACATGCTCAATATTTTGTCCAATGAATTGGTTTGATTCAATGTATTTGAATTGATTTGTTTCAATGTATTTTATTAAGTGAATATTGGTTTGATTCACTCCTATTTGTTACATTAATCTTGCATCTTTAAATGAAATAATTTTAAAAATTATTTAAAAAATGATTAATTTTAAGAATCAATCACAACATATAAGAAAACGATCAAATATGTATGATGCATTGATTTTTTTATATAATATATTTTTTTCCTTTGAAACGTGTCAATTTCTTGACAAGCTATTAAAAAAAGAGGAAATGCCATTATCAATTTATCATGGATTTGTTATGCTTTGTGACAACATGAGAAAACCCAAAAAGAATTTTTAATCTTTATCTTATCTTGTTGATTTTATAGATAATAAATAACAATATAAGGAAGAAAAAAGTAATATAGTAGTAACTTTTTTAAAAAAAGTAGCAATAGGTGAAAAAAATGAAAGAGAAAAACAAAATGAAGAATCTAGTAGATTCTATATCCCTGATACGCTATCATGCGACATTGGCTAGCCAACGGCCCACAAAAACAGCTCTACTCTACAGATACAAAAATAACAAGCATAACAAGAATCTTTTAAGGTAGCCACGTGTGTTTGGTAGCGTAGATTTCACAAGAAGTTATTTTTATACGGTCCCACGCTCCCTCCATCGACGGTCCAGATTGGTCTTCTTGGTCTCTAATCTCCGCAACCTATAAATCAGTTGGTTTCTACTGTTTCAAGCTGGTTCATCTCCCTGGTTTTTCTCTCCAAACTCTTCCTCTTTTTCCTTCCCAGAGCTAGGACTTACAGGTGATCCCTCGAAATCTTCCGTCAGCAACTTTATGCAAGTTTCCTGTTTGTATTCTTTTTAATTATTTTATTCTTTTTAGCTAGAAGCACGAAAATCATTTATGAATGTGCACCTGTGTGATTTTGAAAGGGGCTAGCGGGGCTTGTTCCGTTTGGTTCTTTGGAAAGTGAAGAATCAGAATTGAACGTCATAGATTATAATTACAGATGATTATCATTTATTTTGTTTCTTTGACTTTTGGTTGGATTATAAAATTGATTAATGTGAGTTAATGGAAAAAAAAGATGACAAGCAATAGTGAATGCGTTTTTGATCGGGATTTTCTGAATGATAACCTTATAACCTAAAACTAAATAGAATTTAGTTGAATTTCTAAATGATGATTCTTTGTGGAGCTTTGGAGTATTTGGGAACCCTATAGTTTGACCATTCTGCCTGCAAGCTCCACGTTGCCTACGTGTTCATTCTTTAATATCATCACGACTTATGCCAAGGGAGCCTAAATTTTGTCCCACTAAGTTTTCCTTTCATGTTATTTGTATCTCCGATCTATTCCTAATCCTTAAGTTGGTGACAGGAGAAGGTGTTGCCTTGGCTTCTATAATGAATTCAATGCTCACAAGGATGGGGGGATTTGGGTCCCCTGAAGATGCTTCAATAAATTCCATCACGCTATTTGTTGTTCTCCTTCTTTCTTGCGTTGTGATTGGACATCTCCTCGAAAAGAGCCGGTGGATGACTGAGTCAGTCATTGCATTGCTAATTGTGAGTAGTACACTTGAATCAATCAACACTGTCATGCTATACTTTAAATCTTTGTTATCATTTATGTTCCTCGAAAATGAGGATGGATACTCTTTTTTCTTCGTGTTTTCCAGGGTCTTTTAACGGGAACCATCATTCTATTAACAACTGGGTGGAAAAGTTCACACATTTTAGTATTTGATGAAGAACTTTTTTTCATATATCTTCTTCCTCCCATCATATTTAATGCAGGGTAAGTTACGTTCTCCATGTTGTCTCAACCTCTTCTTACAAATCCACTAGCCAGTTTTTGAATATTGATTTGACAGTGCGTGTTATGCTTGAAGTTTTATGGGTTTTTGTTGGTTAGTCAGAACACGAGGTTAAAAAAATCTAATGAAATGGACCAAATACATATTCACAGAATAACCTCAATTTTTTTGGTTCCATTTGACTTAAGAAACTGTGATGCATATTTCTACTTAACATCTGTCAATATATTGAGTATATTGTGATCTTGGATGATGCTGATTTTAAGATCAGTTACCTTTTCCAAGCTGTCTTTATCAACTAGCAACACATTGGCTGTATTCCATATGAATAGATTGAGCTCAAACATATATATTGATAATTTTAACAATTGAAGGTATAAGAAACTTTGTTTATCATTTTGTAAAACTGGGGTGTCAATGTACATGCTGAATGTTAATTTAAGCAGATATTTGATGATTGAATTGAATAAAATAAATTGCTTCCTTGAAAAAAAAAAAAAAACCAAGAAGTCCTGTTGCTTATGGCTTGCACTCTCAATTATCTATTGCTTTTTTCTGCTATTGTGTGTGTGCAAATTTACATTCTCATTCTTGAAAGCCTCAGCTACGTCTCATTTGCACAAGTTGGGATTTTCTGTTGGTTATACGATTTTTTCTTCTGGCTGATTATCAAATCAACAAGAAATATCTTGTTGCCATTGATCTTTCTGCTTCTAAGTGCGCTTCTATGATATTTTATTAGGTTCCAGGTGAAAAAGAAGCAGTTTTTTAAGAACTTCATGGCAATAGTTTTATATGGTGTTGTTGGGAGTATGATATCATTTGCCATTATATCACTAGGTATGTTCAAACCTTACTTTTATCTAAACGTTGGACATGGTGGGAAAGTTGGTTTGTGACGACAAAGCATCTTCCTAGCAGATTCAAAATGCATTTTAATTTCTAATAGATAGATTAACTTGGGCCTTGATGTTGCAATTTTAATTGGATTCAGTCTATCTGAAAAATTGAAAAAGAAAACGAGGAGAGAATAATACCATTAGTTATTACTAGTTCAAAAACAACATTTGCATTTTGGTTAGAGAAAACAACAACAACAACAAGCCTTTATCCCACTAGGTGGGTTCGGCTACATGGATTGCAAGACACCATTGTGCTCTATCATTTATCAAGTTTTTAGGAATATTATTAATTAACAAATCGCGTTCAATAACTTCCAAAAGTGTTCTCTTAGGCCTTCCTCTACCTCTCTTAATCGGACTCAAAGTTATATGTTCCACTCTTCTCACTGGTGCCTCCCTTGGTCTTCTTTGTACATGCCTAAACCATCTCAACCGATTTTCTACCATTTTTTCCTCAATAGGTGCCACCCTCACTTTTTCGCGTACGTGCTCATTTCGAATTTTATCTTTACGTGTATGTCCGCACATCCATCGTAACATTCTCATCTCTACTACTCCAATTTTATGCTCTTGCTGTCCCGTTAGAGCCCAGCATTCACTACTATATAACATTGCCGGTCTGATAGCAGTGCGATAAAACTTTCCTTTAAGTTTATTAGGCACCTTACAGTCGCAAATAACTCCTTTAGCTTTTCTCCAATTAAACCACCCAGCTTGAAGAGAAAGTGCATTTTGGTTAGAGAAAATGCATTACAATTCTGAAGGCAAGCTTACTTAACAGGAAAAGGTGGTTTTCATCTGATGTGGAGGACAATTGTAATTTTAATTATTTCCTGTTCTTTCACCTTGCATAACTGTCTGAGTTTGATAGGCTTACTCTACCTAGCAGTGCATATATACAATTTGCCATGTTTGTAACTTTTACCATTGTCATCCAGGTTCAATTCAATTATTCAAAGGATTAGACATTGGTGTATTGGATCTGGGAGATTATTTTGGTAATTCTTTACCTTACATACACCTTTCATATTGGATACATTTAATATTTGGGTGATTTTATCTTTTCTATTTAAAGGTTTCTATAATACTATAACTAAACCTGCAACCAGAACAGTTAAATTTATTTAGATGTCAGAGGCAGCATGTTTTTGTGATTTATTTCTCCTTTTCTTTTCCTGGGAAATATGTAACCTTGTTTTTGCTTTTTCCCTCCATTGGTTTCTCTTCTTGTTCAAACACAAATCTGGCATTCAGATGATTTTTATTCATAATGCTTGATTATATTGTGTTCAGCAGGAATTTGTTTTTTCTTTCCTTTTGGAAGCAACATATTCACTCAAAAGCTAATAGATTGTGAGGTTTGATTATTTCCTTGCATTCTTGTCTATGTAACTGCATATTCTCTTCTCTGCCTGTAGCACTTGGAGCAGTATTTTCAGCTACTGATTCTGTCTGCACATTGCAGGTATGAACTCATGAATTGATGAGTATGAGGGATTATGTTATTGAATATGTGGATACTGGTTCCTTAGTTGTATTATGATGTCGCAGGTGCTTAATCAAGAAGAGACGCCTCTTCTGTACAGTTTAGTTTTTGGTGAAGGCGTTGTCAATGATGCAACATCAGTGGTTCTGTTCAATGCAATCCAAAAATTTGACCTCTCTCATATCACCTCAGCCAATATCTTGCAATTTGTTGGCAATTTCTTTTATTTATTCTTAACAAGCACTTTACTTGGAGTAGCGGTATGTCCTTGCCTTTTAATTTTTTAGTTTCTTTTCTTTATCTTTGCATGCTAGCAAGCGTGTAATCCAGGATCCATACATGACATCACCCTGGCTCATGAATGTGAACTACTGTCCTGTCTTTTAATTAAGCATTGTAATCAGACAACAATTCTGCACTGTTCATTTCTCTCTTCACATGTCGGTAGCTGCATTACTTTAATCCCATTCCTTTCTTAATACCATTCAGTTTTCACGGCCTACACCGACAACACAGACAAATCAGACAGGATAAATGCAGATAGAAATTAGGGATTTTTAAATCTTTTGGTGGCAGATATACTTGTCATATTGTTTTGAAAAAGTCCTTTTATTAGATTGTTGGATTAAAAATGACTTGCCTGTCATGTACTTTTCCTTTTTAACAAACCAATATTTCTTATCTTTCAGGTTGGCTTGTTCAGTGCGTACATTATAAAGAAGTTGTGTTTTGCCAGGTACTAGTTCGTAGTTATTTTACAAAGTTTCATTCATTGGTCTCCTTCTTACCGTGCTATATTTTTCTTACTCGGCATCTAATAAAGAATTTATAGATAAACCTGTTGAATATAATCACGTGTATATGATGCCTTAATCCTTTCCTCATTCAATTATAGTGGCCACCCCTTCTCCTAAACCAAAACCCTCAAAAAATTTTGCCTTGTTAACATGCCTTTAATGTGTCTTTATTCTCATACCAGATATTTTGCATCAGCAATTCAGGAGTCATGCTATGTATAGACTTAATGCTGATTTGATTGATTTGGATTAGGTCCTTCCCTGCTGTCATCGGTAGAAAATTGGCATACTGCATCTGCTATAATATCTTGCTGCTAAAAACTAATTTATGGTCCATTTCAGGCATTCCACTGATCGAGAAGTTGCTCTTATGTTCTTGATGGCTTATTTATCTTATATGTTGGCTGAAGTAAGTTTTCTAATACTATAAATCTTGTGAGTACTTGTTAGGTTTATGTAAGTTTTTTCCTAAGCAGATTCAAAATCTAAATGTTGGCAACTTCAATTTCCAGCTTCTTGATTTAAGTGGGATCCTTACTGTGTTCTTTTGTGGGATTGCCATGTCGCACTATACCTGGCATAATGTTTCTGGGAGTTCTAAAGTTACGAGCAGGTATATTAGGAGCTATGATGTGATAATGTAGATGATATTTTTTTGCGTAAATGCCAACAAGAAAGCAAAAACTTACCATCTTCCTTGTGATGTTTACCTATACCTGTAGGCATGCTTTTGCAGCTTTCTCATTTGTCTCTGAGATTTTTATCTTCTTATATGTTGGCATGGACGCCTTGGACATGGAGAAATGGAAATTTGCCAGCAAGAGGTATTGAATTGAGACTTTGATATTTCAAAGTTACCTATAACCTTGTGATGGCTTTTCCAGTAGAGTATTTTATCAAAGAGAAATTTATATATTTTACCTATGGCATGAGGAAGCAATATTGTAATTTGACTTCTATTCTTTTCAGTCCATGGACTTTAGTTGCGTCAAGTGGATTGCTGCTTTGCTTGGTTCTGCTTGGAAGGGCAGCTTTTGTGTTTCCCCTGTCATCTTTAGCCAATTTATTTAGGAAGTCTAACAATGATAAGATTACATTCAAGCAGCAGGTAAGTGCTTCAAGGTTGGTTTTGGGTTTTTTAATGTCTTGACCTACAATTCTGAAATATTTATGCATGATCGAGCAGGTTGTGATATGGTGGGCTGGGCTTATGCGAGGTGCTGTATCTGTGGCACTTGCATACAATAAGGTACAAGAATGAGTTTAGTGCTGCCACCAAATTATATTGGAGCACCGGGACTAGTTCTTTATATTTCTCCGCTTTATCTTTTAGAAGACTAAAAGCTTGTAACGTTTCATATACCTAGTTTACAAGATCAGGACATACTCAGCTGCAAGGGAATGCCATCATGATTACCAGCACCATCATAGTCGTTCTCTTAACTAATGTGGTAAGAATCGTTAGTAACTAAGTACACATATTTGGATTCTCACAGCTTAAATGCAGTTTCCATAGGTCTTTGCCATTAGATTCTCTAATAAATAAACAATTCATGCCCAACTCAAGGTCACACACACGTGGAACTTCAACAGCGAAGACCTGGAAATTGAATTTTTCTCTTTTAAAGGCATTAGACTTTGTTGTGCAATAACATTTTGAGATTGACCTCTAGATGTGATAGATCTGTTAGCTAGGAAGCTCAATACTTTATTGGTAAATGCAGGTGGGAGGATTACTGACTAAGCCTCTGATAAGGTTATTGCTGAATCCCCATAAACATTCAGGCATCTCAGTGGATTCAGATTTATCACCCAGTAAGCGTTTGACTTTGCCGTTACTCTCCAACGAGCACGAATCGGAATCTAACGTAGACATCGGTAATCCCCTTGATTCCAATCGTACTGTTCATCACTATTGGCGAATCTTCGACGATTCAATTATGCGCCCTGTTTTTGGAGGGAGAGGATTTGCTCCTGTTGCTCCAGATTCCGAAAGAGACGTGATTCTGCGTTAATAATCTAGTAAATTTTGTCTGTTGAGGATAGATTGCACCCCCAAAATGGTCACTTATCAATTTTGCATATAATTTTCTTCTTTTTTGGTTTGGCGCGATGAAGTTTGTATATATAGTTGACCAAGTATGTTGCTTTTGTATACTTTTCCACTAACCAATGTATTCTTTTTTTTTTTTTTTTTTGCGGCGGAATATGCTATTGTCTTTAGGGAACATCATAGCATGTATCTGTCATCCCCCGAAGGGAGCAAAAAGACGACCTAATGCAAGTAGTCTGTCTCCAATGAGTGAAGAGTCTGCCACATCTGAGGATGGTTCGATTTAATTTGATGGTTCGGATTTGATCTAAAAATTTGAAGAGTTCAGAACTATAATGGAGAGGCAATGGAGTGAAATTAAGTCTGAAACTGATCGGAGGGTCCACTACGACGGAGGATTATTGGATTTAATTTGATGATTTTCAAAAGTACAAATTCTACCTCGTTAAGGCGCATTGAGGAGAAATTAAATTTAGACCAGATCCAACACATTAGGCTGACAAAAGACCTTTTTCTTTTTTCGTTTTTCTTTCTTACGTCTGACATTTAAGGGGAAAAAAAAAAAAAACTTTTTAAGGGGAGCAAGGTAGGGCTTTAGCCCCTACTTCATTGAATCACTAGAAAGAAATGGCATTGAAGGGATGTCAAGGGACAAATGGTTCCCATCTTGATGCTTGCGGCTTGTTGATTGATTTAGGATTCAAATATTGTTAGGTTGAAATGTGATTGCTTAATTTTTTTTTCTGGCAAATTTTTTATTTACACCTACCAATAGATCCAGGAAAATGGATTAGGCTTGGCGGACCAACGAAATAAAGAGCAACGGATTTGGTTGAAAAATTTCTAACCCATTTAAAGATAGGCGGGTTCATTTGACCCGACATATTTAACTTGCAACATGTGGCGAGCTAATCCGTCAATCCGTATGTTAATTCACCTGGAAAAAAAATGTTTTTTAAAATTTCAGTTTTAATTAAAAAACTCACCATTTTGTGTTTATTTTAAACATAAACTTCTTTATTTTATGTCGGGATCATAAATTCATGTTTGCTTCCTCATTATTGATTCACCATATTTATATTAATAAAATAATTATGTAAAATAGATTACTTGCTTATATTTACAAATTTTGAGGTTAATTTAATTATATAATTTTTAATAAGTAGGAGATAAAAAAATTGTATTTTGCTTTAAAAAGTTTAATTTTTTTTAAATATAGATAAAAAAGGAGGGTTGACATTTTCTAACTTGCTGGGAGATCATTAGTTACAAGAATCAGGCTACATAATTAAAACTGTTTAAAATTGCTTTGATTTTTATTTTAACACCTAATAAATACCATGAATTAAAAAGAGAAAATATTTTTTATTTCCTCATTGAACATTGAGAAGAATGGCATATTTAAAATAAAATAATTATTATTAATGTTGCATAAATTATTGTAAAGTGACTGATAAAAAATTTTCTACAAAGCGTTCTATATTAAGAATTGGGGGAGTACAATATAAAGTAATTTAAATTTTATACAATTAAAAATTAAAAATGATTAGTATATAGAGTACATCACTAATTTATGTTTTCATTCCCATTAAACATGCAATTATCGGAAAAATAGTGTAAATTAACATCTTGCTCGGCATGTAACTTAGCCTTAACCCCACTATTGTTCCTATATTTTTCTTATCATATTTATAAATTATTTTCAATATATTTTACAGGAATTAAAAAATTTTAAACCTTATTAATTTTATCTAAAAATTTAATTTATTTTTAATTTTATTTGTATTAAATATACATACTTCATGTAATTTTTCTCACTAATATTCATGGAAGTAAAAAAAATTAGGATAAAAATTTAATGAAAATGACATGTGCAGAGTAGGGGCAAAAAAAAAAAAAAAAATCTTCCCTTGTCTTACCAGTAGAACAAAGGAAAATACGCGTTTAGATTACCGTCCACTGTTTCCTCTACGCTCGTCCATCACAGTGGCGGAACAGTCCCACAGTCACCACCCCTTTCTTTTTCTCTTTTTTTTTTCTCGGCTAAGATTTGAATTTTGGACCAGGTATTTTCCTGTCTTCTTTTTCTTCTTTGTTTTTTCTCTTTTTTGTTCTATTCGTATTTCAATATCCCAGTCTTTCTGTCCTTTTTGTTTCCATGGCGGTTGGCCGCCTAATTACCCATTCACATTTCAAAATATCGTCGCTGTCTTTTTCCGTTCTCTAATTCTTGGAATTTATGACTGGAGCCATCCTGCTCCCAATCTCTTTCACTCTTTCTTCTACCTTCCTCTCGTTCCTTGCGCACATCGCAGTCGTTTATCTTTCTCTCTGTCGGTGGCGATTGCCTTAGTCTTTATCTGTTCTTTCTATTTATTATCATTATTTTAGTATCTCGGCGTCCGTCTTTAAATTTCGAGACTTCCCCTGTGTACTAGGTTAGGGTTGAAACTTGGAATGACGTGAATGACCGTCCCATGACGTTATGTTCTGCTTTCTTGTAAAAACCGAAGAGGCGTACTCAGTCTCGTACTCGGTGCATTAACGCATGTGTCTCTCCACGGAAACTCGGTAAGGTTGGTGCTTTTCGTTCTTTATCCTTTTGGCTGTCAGGTTTGCTATTATGCCGTATTACTCTTAAATGCTTCTGCATTTTCTATCCGGTCTTCTGTTTGGTCTTATCTTATGCATTTATGTATATATAGCATGCTTTTGGTGATAACGGAGAGAATAGTGAAGCAGAAGAAAGTTTAAATGACGAAGGATCAACCCTTATACTGGTGGCTGCTAGACAATCACAGCACCATCAGACAATCCCCCTGGCTCCAATCCACTCTTGCTGGTATCTACTAATTAAATCCTCTCTCTCTCAATCTTCCATTGTCGCTGCACTTTTTTACTTTGCTTGTTAGCTCTTTCCATCCATACTAATTAGTGATTAGTTGACAAAGCGTACGTTTAGGTGAGTGATGCGTTGATAGCATGAAGATTGGTAATGGAAAATGAATGACTGGGGTCCACCAGTTAATCATTCTCTGATTCTCTGTTATTTGTTTTCTTAGTTTGTCTCTAGCAGACTATAAACGGTCTCTCTTATAAGCCTTTTTTATGCTTTAGGAAAAAAGTTGTAGTACCATTGTTTGCTTTCTTAAAGTTTCCGTGTCAATTTATATGAGGAGCGGGGAGTGGAAAAATAAGAGCATGGCAAGTGCCATAAAACGTGAAAAAGTTTTGGGCCACCGTTATGATTTTCTGGATGCTACCTTTCAACTTTTTCTTACCTTTTCCTCTGGACTTTGTTGTGAACTTGTACTTGAGTGCTGTTAAAGCATAAGATTTTAGTACGAACTCTGATTAATTTGCGTGTTGCGTGCTGTATGTGCGTGGCAGAGCTAAATGAAAAGACCAGGACAATATTAGAACTTATAGAGGAGGATGCAGATTCCTTTGCCCAACGTGCAGAAATGTATTACAAGAAGCGACCCGAGCTTATCCGTATGGTTGAAGATTTCTATCGGACACAACGCTCGTTAGCTGAGCGCTATGATCAAGTCAAATCTGACACTGGAATTCGCCTGCTCACAACAGAGGTATCCCCATTTAGTCCGACCAAGTACCAGTCGGACAACATAATGGGTTTTAAAGATAGAAGTTATGACAGCTATTCTGAGAATTGTGATGCTGAGGAATCCGTGGAGTCTGAAATTGATGATTCCGAGCTGAAATTAACTACCAAGTTTGCTGAAGAAGATGAAGTGATGAAGTTGAAGGAAGAAATTCAGAGTCTCAGGGAAGAGAACAGGGCTTACAAAGACCAACTCAACCAGAAAGATGCCATAAATGATGAAGTAATAATCTTGAAAGAACTAGTAGGAGGACTCAGAGAAGAGAATAGGGCTTTTGAAGTTCAACTGAAGCTGAAAGATGCCTTGGGTAGTGAAGTAAAGATACTGAGGGAAGACATAAAAAGATGCAGAGAAGAGAACAGAGGACAGAGGGATCAACTCAAGGAGAAAGATGAAGAGAAAATAAAGGTGATAAGACATCTGAGCTTAGCAATAGATTTGCTGAGGGAGGAGAATGCAAAGATGAGAAACTATATTGCTAAGGACTACAACAAGAAGTGGAGGAACCCATTTGAGTTGAGCAAACTCAAGGGAGCCTTGTCATGGAAGTTGTTTGATGTTCGAAGGAACTCTAGTACTGTAGCTACATAGTGTGGTTGACAAGTTGTTTAAAGTCTTGTAAACAAATAGCCCAATAATTTCATTCCTGGTCTGACAATCCGGAGTGGCTTGTAATATAAATCAACTGTATTTCTTTCATATTTTCTAATGCAACGTGCGCAAGAAGCAGAATGACCCAAAAGGGTTTTTGAGCAACACCAAAGTAATTGGTGGAATGATGGTCAGTTCAATGAATTGCTAATGCTATTTAAGGTCAGCTTGGTGGGTCTCTATTACATAGAACTGGTAACGGCAACGAAAGGACAAGTGGGAGAGAATTTTTATTAATTTTCAATTCAGTGTAGACAATATCGCACACCCAGAAACCTCACCATTCTCTAACCTCTTGGACATTAACTATACCAGCAGTTACAATGCCTTACCTAAAGTTAAATGCCCAAACAGCATGCAAGAACAAACGAAACCAGAGTAGAAATAACATCCACATGTAATTACATGAAATGAAACTGCATCAAGAAAAATACCACTAAAGCCAGATATGAAGCAGAAATCAGAGACGGAGATGAAGCATGAGAATTTGCAGACATGGAGGCCAATGGTGGAAAAGCCAGTAGGGAGCCAGGAGTGTCCAACACTTGAGGATTGGGAGGGCTGGGGCTTGAAGGGATAGTGGGCAAAGGGGACTGTGAAGGAGAAGCAGCAACTCCACTAGGAGTTGGAAACAGAGGTTCAATGTCTGGGGATAACATAGGAGCTTCTCCTGAGCTTACTGGTGCGGCTGATATGGTAGAAACAGTAGTACTTTGTGGTGATGCTTGGGCTAATGAAGTGAATAATAGTAATAATAATGTGGCCCAGAACGAGCAAAAGGAATCCATGAATGATCACAGAATCAATTGCTCTGTGATGAATGTGTCTGTGAGAGAAAGAACAACAGAGAGGATAAAAATAAAAAATGGTTGGAGGGAGTGAATCTGAGAAGGCTGATGATTGAGGAATAAAATGAGCTTACAAGAGATGGCGGTGGGCTCCCTATTTCACTATTCAGATTTCTTGTCATTGGCCTCCCTATTGATTATCTTCTTGTGGTTGTATGGTTATATATCATATGTTTTTCCATTGGGGAAAATAACTATTTTTTAACATCAATTATAATACTTGACTCTTAACAAAAAATTTTATACACATCACTACTCACCATTATATTGTCAGAGTGAGAGTAAAAATTTAAGATCTGCATATAAATTTGATCATTTCTTATTTTGGTTGTGCCATTGATCCATTTATCCATTGGTTGAAGGTGGATCATGGATGATTTTTGGAACGGTTTTTTTTGTTACAATTCAATAGATTTAATGAATTATGAGTATGTGGGCGTCGAAAATATTCGCCAAAGTCCATTTTATATACTCTCTCCATTTAAAAATGTAATACATTTTTTGAAAAGTTGAATATTTAAAAATATAAAGATTTTTAGTCTTTCAAGGTGTAATTATTGTCTTTTCTTAAAAAATACCCCTGTTAATAATAATTTTATATTTATTATAAGGTGTTTAATAAAAGTAAATATAAAAATATAGGATTAGTTTGAAAGTAGGTAATTGCTTTATTAGGAGTGAGATTCAGTTAAAAATGTTTTATATTTTTAAACAAAAAGAATACCTCTTATTGTTTACATTTATTTTACCTTTTCTGCGTTAAGAGTATAGAAGAAGAAGAATTGATGAGCTGAAGAAAATAAGGGCATACCCTCTCTGGTTTTATTTATAGGGTAAATAGAAAAGAATTTTTTAGTCCTATTTATAAATTATGAGTCACGCTATTAAATTTTTATTATAAATTTTTTCTACCCTCCATTTGAATATTGGAGAGAGAAAATATATTATTAAAGTATGTATATTTAATATGAGCAAAGTTGAGAATTTATTAAATTTTAAAATAAAATTAATAAATTTTAAAATTTTTTTAATATTAGTAAAATATGTTCAAAATGCCTTATGAATAAAATTAGAAGAGTAAAAGTGAACTACATTTTCGTGGTTGAAATCTTGAGCTCACGCAAAGCAATTTACTTCGGTTGAGTGAAAAATAAAAGGAAATAAAGGTGGGCTTTACCCATGCTGAAATCATTAATATTTATTATGCCATTGAAACCTTTTCAATTCAAAAGCAAAAGGGGGGATTAGGTATGGGTAAGAATGTAGGACAAATAAAATTGTTGTTGATAACGATAATAACTCATTGTCTTTGTTCCGATGGCTTAAAATCGTGGGGTTTCAACTTTCAACGCATCGGTCTCTATATTTGTGATGACCAATGTATCGCATCTGAAAAATGTGACGCGGATGTGAGTGGAGATTCTGACTTTTAAGGTGAGAATTGGATGGAACGTAGTCGTGACCAAAATTTTAAATAAATATTAAAAAACTGTTTAAAAGAGAATAAAGATGATTTGTAAAATTAAAAAATAAGTTCAAGAGTTGATTGAGTGTGAGGAAAGTGTTAGGCATCCCACAATACCTGTTCGTCAAAATGATTACCTGAAGTCTATTATGCTAAATTAATATAGTTTTAAAGTTATTTTAATTATTCATTTCTTATTCACGTGTTTTAAAAATGATAAGAACTAAATGAAAAATATTTATTTATTTATAAGGGAGGACTTGACTCAAAATTTGACTCTGAGGCTTACATATTCTGTGATGGGGATCAAATTCTACATAGTTTAGGCTTGAAAATTATTGGTAAAAATATTTTTTTGAAAATAAATTAATTAAAACTAATTCATCATTTTAAAAATAAAACAATTTCTAAAATTTTGACATGTGTGTTTTAAATTGCAAAAAGTAATTTAATTTTAATTATTTTTTCAATTTTTGAATTTTTGAAATAAAGAAAAGAAAAAGGGTTTAAAATTATTATTTTTATGTTTTATGGTTGAGAATTTAATTGCTATGCCTGCAGAATCTTATTAGTTCATATAGTAATACAATCGTGCTAAATATATGTGAAAATTCTAAAATCTTACACAATAAAAAAGTTTAACAACTTAATGTATTTATGTTTTTGAATGTTAGTAATATTTTTTTAAGCATGTATGTACATATACACTTTTTACAAAAAATATTAATCATCATATCTGCAAAGCATTATTGATTTATACGGTAATGTGATTATCTTAAATATTTGTGAAAATTTCAAAATTTCACATAATAAAAGATTAAATAATATAAATTTAAGTACATTTTTAATTTAATTGATTTAATATATAATTTATATATATATATATATATATTTAAAAAATTTAATCGTTATATCTGCAGAGTCTTATTGACTCATACGATAATATGATTATCTTAAAAGTCTATGAAGATTCAAAAATTTTACATGACTAAAAGGTCTAATCAGACAATATAATTATGATTTTAAATTTATTAATTTAATTAATTAATATATATATATATATATATGCTTATTATTTTATTTACAAAAATTTGTTTATTTATTTATTATACACAAATTGATAATCACATCATCTGTGAGGATTTATTATCCCACACAATAAAGTAATCAATTTAAGTCTTTATGAAAATTCTTGAAATATCACATGAGACTTAAATAAATTATTTAGATTAGAAAAGTGATGTTAATTTTAATGATAGACCATTGAAACCTATATATAAACTGGATATTTTATGCTTGTGAACTCTTACTGATTTACACTGGATATTTTATGCTTGTGAACTCTTACTGATTTACACGGTAGAAGATCATTTTAATTGCCTGTGAAAACTTTTAAAATTTCACATGACCCACAAATAAAGTATGAATATATCTTCACTTCTTGTTTTCCTTTTTTTTATTTTTTATTTCAATCCTTTGTAAAGAAACTACTAAGTCATGGCAACATGTCCCTTTCAATATGATTATACCAAATCTGTATATATAAAACAAAGGCGGCTAAAAATTATGCAAGGCATCACGTGGCAACCTATTTTCATTAGCACCTTTCATATATCAAAAAAATCAATACTAAATGTAAAAATTAGCAAATTTTTTAAATTAGTGAGCAACAACGGTGATAAACTTCCAAATGTCTAAACCTTGAAATTTAATTCTTTAATTACTAAGGGATACAAGATCATAACTAATCTCGTAGGTAATCGGGTAGTGATCCATTAGAACTTGGAAAAGAAAATAAGATACTAGTAAAATGTCATGGCTCAAACCCATAACTTTTATTCCAACCTTTAAAATCAGAGAGCATGTTCTTATATATTTTCCTGATATCCTAATTTGAATGTATCTCTCGTAAATCAACACCATCAAAAAAATTAGAATTTCTTTTTGAGAAAAAAGAAAGAAAGAAAGAAAAATAAGACTCCTCTAAAAATTCATCTTTCCAGGCTTAAATTCCTTTACGCATACATGATTAACTAAAGTAAAACAAACATCCCTACAGCAAAGGCTTTCATGCTAGGAATCGAAGCAGAAATCACCTTGTGCTTAAGTTCTCATTTATCCATTTTAATAAAGCATACATGCATAGGATGTATCAAAGGGCTAACAAGATATCGAATCCTTTCTGAAACAAACATCAATCTCTTATGGTTCCTAACACCGATCAAAGCATTATGATGTTTAAACATAGGACTTGTTTGGAAATGAGAAATTAAAATTGAATAGAAAACATTCCAGATTCAAAATCAAATAGATTAGAGAACATGTGTAGTGCGTCTTCTCCTCAAATCCATCTCACCGCTTCTGCTTAGAAATCCTCTTTTTTTTCCAGCAAACTCATCCCTCTCTCGATTCCCTTTTTTAGATTTCACCTTCGATCTCCTTTCTCTCAGTCTCTATTTTTTTTTCAGAACTCTCCCTCTGATCTCGACATTCTCTCTCAAAATGCAGAGCTTTTTTGGAACATTCAAAATCTCTCAATCTCTCAATCAATCTCCAGAAATCTCCACGACTTTCTCCAAAAAAATCTTTTCTTTTTTCGATTCTTTTCCTTGAAATTTTTTTAGCCCCCTTCAAACTCTCAGTTGCAGGCATTATATAGAGTAGGAAGGAAGGACAATTTACTAATTTCTCCTTCAGTCTCGGATCACCATCCCTATTCTCTCTTCTTGATCGCGTGCATCTCTTTCTTTTGTCTTTTTCCCCTTCTTCCGTTGCGTCGTTGTGGGTTGCTTCTTCTTC